ACTGGGGGGGGGTGCGTACCACTTCATTTAAAAACTGTTCTGAGCTTCAACCAGAATCTAGGCTTTTCCTAGTCTTCTCATTCCTGCCCATTACCCACTTCCAAAGCTGTTTTTACATTTTTTTTAATATAATTATTTTTAAAATATTTTACTTAGTCACTCATTTATTTTAATTTGACCAGAGAGAGACAGAGAGAGGAAGCGAGAAAGCAAGCCACTAGATTCAGGACTCAAACCATGGTTGGCCACATGAGTGTCCAGCGCCTTAACCACCACACCACCTGCTGGCCCTCACGTGTTTCTATATCTGTAGCAAACAATCCTGCTGACTATGCCAATTTCTGTCTTTATTGTGCTCATAACAAATATGTGAGACTGAGTGAATTTAAGAGGCCAAAGATTTCTTTTGAATCACAGTTCTGGTGGCTGGGAGGTCCAAAGGCATCACAAAATGGCTAAAGGCTGGGCCAGCAGGTGGCACAGTGGTTAAGGCACTGGATCCCGCATGGCCAGCTCTGTGGTTCAAGTTCCAGAGCCAGCAGGTTAAGAAACACACCAGTCTTGTGTGCACGTGTGCCTAGAATCCCAAGAGGAGAATGGAGGAAAAGGGGATTGCGGTGTAGCCATCCCGCCTGGGGAGTGATTTCTTTTTCTTTGGAGAAGTTTTTGCTATAGGGCGCATGCACTCGCCAGTCAGACAGAGAGAGACAGAGACAGAAAGCGAGAAATCACCCCCCCCCCCCCCCCCGAGGGGATAGCCACGCCACAATCCCTTCTCCATTCTCCTCTCGAGATCCTGGCCACGCACGCACATGCGCCCAGCATGAGTTTAAGTCACTGGGTCCGGGACGCGAGCCGCGGTCGACTACATGGAAGTCCAGCGACATAGCCATTATGCTAACTGCTGGTCCCCCGGGAGTGATTTCTCAGCTTCCCTCCCTCTCTGTCTCTCTCTGGAAAGCACATGCACCCTAACTTGGAGCAGGGAGAGTGCGGTCTGCATCCATGTGCCTTCCTCCCTGCTCCTCTGCTCTCACTCCTTCTGTTTACAAGCCCACCTGAACTCAAGCACAGAGACCCTGTCCTAGTGGCATTATCACATCTAAAGGCCCCACCCAGGGACACCACGAAGGAATTTTCACTTAACACCTAATTGATACAATACAATCAAATCCCAACATGTGAATTACCGGGGGACATCCAATCACCACCAGAACCAGAAACCCTGAAGGGTTGTGGGGGCAGACAAACCACTAGCCAAACCCTAACAGGCCCTAAGGAACATGAAGGGTTGAGATCTAAAAGACAGTAGAAGGTAGGGGCCGGCAGGTGGCACTGTGGTTAAGGGTGCTAGACTCACACATGGTCAACCACGGTTTGAGTCCCGTTACCTGTGCTCACTCTCTCTGTCTCTCTCTGACAAAATTTTTTTAAAAAGTAATAATAAATAAAATAAATAATTCTTTAAAAATAAAAAAAAAGGACTGTAGAAGGGATTCAGAGGGAACAGGTGGTAGCACAGTGGTCACACAACTCGATCCATATGGGAAAGGCCCTGGGTTCATATCCCTGAGCACCGTGGCACATCCACACGTGCACCTGTGATCTGGGGCGTGGCTCTCAGTGTGGAGGCCCTGTTGGGGATGTTTATCTCCCTGTTTCTCCATATCTCTCTGTCTCTCTCTCTCTGTCTCTGTCTTCGGACCAGCAGTTAGTGTAATAGCTATGTAGCTGGACTCCCACATAGTCGCCCGCAGTTTGCGCCCCGGACCTGGTGGCTTAAAACTCACACGGGCGCATGTGCATGCGTGTCCACGATCCCGAGAGAAGGGATTGCGCAAAAGGCCTGTGGCGTGGCCATCCCCCCTGGCGGGTGATTTCTGGCTTTCTGTCTCTCTGTCTCTGTCTGTCTGGCAAGCACAGTGCCCTATAGCAAAAACCTCTCCAAAAAAAAAAAAAATTAAAGGATTCAGATGTGTTTGTAGGGAGAGCTGTCCAGGCAAAGTTGAAAACCTGGGTTGGCCTTGACAGTCTCCTTCACAGCATGATAGGAGTGGGGAAGATGACACAGGAGGACTGCGAAGAGCAAACTTCCAGTCTGTCTCGGCTTCTACTAGAAAGGCTAAAGAGACTCCTCCCTCTGCCTGCGGGTGCCCTTTACCCTCTCAGACCATCGTCATTAACCGCGTCCAGTGAAAGTAAAAGCGGCAGAGAGAGCCTTTAAGAGTAAAGGAAAAGATGGGACCAGCAGTTAGCGTAATGGCTGTATCGCTGGACTCCATGTAGTCGACTGGGGTTCGAGTCCCGGACCCAGCAGCTTAAACTCATGCTGGGCGCCTATGCGTGCGTGCCCAAGATCCGGAGAGGAGAATGGAGGAGAAGGGATGGCCATTCCCCCCTGGGGGTGATTTCTCACCTTCTGTTTCTCTTTCTTTCTGGCCAGCGCTCTCGCCCTCTAGCAAAAACCTCTAAAAAAAAAAAAAAAAGTGGAGGAAAAGAAAAGAGGCGGAGGAACAGGACCTCCCCGAGCCTCCCCGAGCCTGGTGGGAAGGGCAGAAGCTGTCGCCTCCCCTAAAAACTGAAAGTCGCCAGGCCGCAGGGCTCTCGTTCCGCCCTTCTCATGACCCTTCCCCTTTCCCAGTACCTTCCAGCCGCCCCGCCGTGTCACATTCCAGTCCGCTTCTTTCCGACTCCACCTCCTCCAGACTGGCGTGTTTTCCTCCACGTGGTTCTCTGTATATATCGGTTACCTGGGAGACCCTCGCTGGGCGGGCTCTAATGATGCCACAATGGGAACAAGTCAATAGCCGTGCAGCGTCTCAGTGACGCGCGACGCGGGGTGTGGCTTTGCCGCGCCGCGCGCAATGAGGCGGCTGCCCGCTGGGTGGCGCCGATTTCCCGGGGAGGTCCCTTTTGGGCCCCCGGCGGAGGTGGGGGAGAGGCGGGCAGGAGCCGAGGCCAGGGAGCCCTCTGCGTCAGCTGCTGCTCGCTGCGCCGCGCCAGTACCAGCCGGGACTCACCCGCAGCTCCATGCTCGTGCCCGGTTCGACTCGTCCATCCTCCGAGAAGAGGCAGGTATGTGCCACCTGTCGGCGATCGGGGAGGAGGAATGCGGAGGTCAGTGCTGGTCTGAGGCTCAGAAAGTGAGGTGTCAACGACAGCCTGGGCAGAATGGGCACTAGACATGTAGGGCGCGGGCCAGCTGCGCGGGGGGGAGCTCCAGCTGTGGGTGCCAGTTGTGTAAGGGGAGCTGCCAACTGACAGCCCAGGGTGCCAGGAAGAGCCATCTGTGTGCTGATCACTGTGTTCTAAGGAAATGCAGCTTCTGCAAGTCCAGAGCGCTGTGCTCTGTGATCTGCTGCTGGCTGAGTGACACCTGGACACTGACAGCCTCCTCCCCACTGTGCATGCGGCTCACTTACTCTCTGCTCTTAAAGCTGGGGATGGGAGAGTGGAGGGCTGCCTCCAGTCAGTTTGCCAAAGGGGGGAGGGCAGCCTAGGGGGAGGGCAGCAGTTAAGCGGAAAGATTTTCCACCAATCCTGAACCAGAAAGAGGCATCTTTGAAATTCTCACCAATCTCCCGTATCCCTAGTTCCTGCAAGAGCGCCTGGCGCGTCTCAAACCAGAAGCAGGCAGGTAGTGCCCCAAGGCAAGCAAGTGACAGGGCACAGCCCTTGGGTCACCTATCCTAGCTGTCCTGTGAGGGGTGAACATCCTACCTCTTCACCTGGCTGTTCTTAGAATGGGCTGAACAGGAGAGTGCGCCAGGGGCTGCTCACATCCCCAGGCGTGGGCGTCAGAGCATCCCCCAGAACCATGCTGGAAGGTGGAGGAGAGGAAAGCTGCTTGGCCAAGGCTGGGGCATCCCCTACTCTTTTGATGCCGTGCCTGCATGCCATCCGGGAGTGGGAATGAGGACTGGAATGAGGGCGTCCTTTGAGGTTCATCGTCAGAACCCAGGCTGAGTCAGTAGCCTGTGCTTAGGGGTGGAGGCTGCAGCCCCGGGTACACCCAGTCCTCAGGGAGAGCCACCAAGAACGGGAGACACATCGTGGGAGCAGGCAGGTGTACCGAGACCAGAGAGGCTAAGAACTCTGCTCCTTCCTCCTGTGACCCTGCCCAGCCCAGCTGTGTGGCCCTGGAATCCTGAGCCCTCGTACAGGTAGAGTGAAACCTCCCCACAGGGGCCGGGCATTGTCCTGGCAGACTCGGCGAAACCGCATTTTGCCATGTTTTTCTAGGCAAGGGGGAAAGGATCCCACAGGGGCTTGTCCTAGGGACTGGACATCTGGGAAGACAGCAAGCCTCGTTTGGCCTCCTCAGTTTGGGACACGGGCCAGTTCAGAAAACCATGCGCTGTTCTCTGGCATTAGGGCAGAGCGCTCCTGGCGTGGGTAGCCTGGAGGCCCTTTTCTTCCTAGGCAGGTGGGTCTGGTATTGCGCTAGTGCTAATACCACCACCGACTTGAGGAGTAAATGGACGTGACGGACAGCTACCGTCATTCATTGAGCTCTCGCTGTGTGCCAGGAAATTTACAAACACTATTTCATCCTCATAGTCATGAGCTGTACCATTCTCCTTACTATTATTATTCCTGTTTTCCAGATTAAATAACTAAGGTTTAGAGGGTGTAAGGGACTGGCCCACTACCTCAGAGCCAATAAAAGAAATGGCTAGAATTCAAGCCCAGGCCTAGAAGTCCATTACGAAAGAGTAGTAGACTGAAACCTGACCGCTGTCTGCCTCTCCCCTGCCCGTGCCCATGAACACGCTGAATTCTGCCTCCCATCCAAGGATGAGCCGGGCTGACCCTTGTGAAATCAGACCGTCTTGGGGCTCAGGATGGTATAGCTATAGACCCCTCTGCCTCGGACATTCCATCTCAAAATGGAAGGAGCTGGCCTAGCAGGAAGGCTTCTTTCTGTTCTTCAATTCTGTGACCGACAGCTCCAGGGAACTCTCCTCTCCTTTCCATATTTTTGCCTCAATGCTGGCCCTATCCTCTATCCTCTTTCCAGTCCTCTGTGTCCCCTTGAATCCCCCTACTGCTCCACTTGAAAATGTACCCTACTCCCACGCCAAGAGTCCTGGGAGATTTCCCTGTACCAGCCCAGCTGGGTAGCCCTCCAGGGTGGGCATGCCACTGCCCCTTTAATTCTCCCAGGGCCTGGAATGTGAGTGAGTTGCTAGCCCTCTGCGAGGTCAGATAAGATACTATATATATCAGAGCAGTAACCTGAGCTCCGGATTACCCAGCCCGGCAGACTCTAGCTTCTGGGCTCTCCACTGCCTTCCCTGCCCTGCTGGGGAAGGAGAAGCCCCCTGTCCCGTCCAGTGCCTGCGGATACAGGTCAGTAGCTACCCCATGGCCCTAAAGCTTCACGGGGCTGCTATGTAAGGACCAGACACCTTGAGTTTGGGGGAGCATGTGAGAGGCCACTCCTCTGGGCCTGGTGGGTACGGGTGCCCTGGGCAAGACCAAGGGCTCCTCTGAAGACTGAGGAAGAGGAAAGATGAAGGCCCAGAAAGAGAGGAAGATTGGGACTCCACCCCTGGGGAGGGGGATACCCAGCCAAGGACAGCCCCAGCTCTGGGAGGTCGGCAGCCGGGGGTGGTTTCAGGGTGGCCAGATCAGACAGGGCGCAGGTTCCACCCCAGCACTGCCTCTGCTCCCAGAGGCACCTGGGGAAACCCACATGCCTCCCAGGAATCCAGGCTTCCTCATCGGCAAAGGCGAGGGCTGGACAGAGGTGGAGGGGAAAGAAAATTCAAGGGTGCCAAGACAGCCCGGAGGCCCTTTCCTTGGAAGTGTCGAGAGACCTGCCCCCCCAACCCCAAATCAAGAAGCACCCTATCTAAACACTGCCCTAGACCCACCCACTTCTTCACCACCAATCAGGATTCTTGTCTTAATCTCCCATCTCTTTTCTCTTGCCTCCCCCTGCCCAGCCCTAGAGAAACTTCTGGGAGCTCAGAGACAGGGATGGGCCCAGATTCCCTTGGACATTGCCCAGCCGAGGCAGGCAGGCTGGTGGGTCACAGAGAGAGACTGGAGGGGAGAGGACCAGCTGAGGCTCCTGGGGCCTGAGAGGTGGAAACAGAGTCCCTGAATGTACCCCGCCCGCATGTGCCCCATGTCCCTGCCAGGACAGTCCTCCTCCGACCCTCCAAGACTGAATGCTTGCACCCAGACAGTGTAGCCGAGAGTGGGGTGCTGGGAGTGAGGGTGAGGGAGCAGAGACGAAGGAATGGGAGGCTCAGCACATTCTGATGCTGTGATCCAGCAGCTTTGGGAAGCTCTGAGGTCACCACTGTGGAGGTTCCCAAGCACCTGGCAGGACTGGCTGGGACTCCACTCACCTGTCCTGAGCCCCTGAGTAGGAGGGAAGGGACTTACCTCTGTTTAGGCCGACCTCTGAAACTCAGCTGGGGGCTGGGGAGGCAGGCAGTGGCAGGGCCACAGAGCTGGCATGCCGTCACTCAGAAAGCCAAGTGGACCTGGCGGAGGGGCCATGAAAGTTGCTGAGGTACACGGCATCACCCGTCCTCTGCCCCCAGGGCCAGGAGGGCCTGGGATTCCTGGGGAGCCAGTCCCTCCCCTGGCTGGGCAGGTTAGGGAGCCCTTCACGTGAGCAACAGGAAATGACAGTGGCTGACGCAAGGGAAAGAAACAAACGGGGTTCATTTTAACCCTGACTCACCTCATGTGGGGACCTTCGGAGGTGGGCTGAGCTGCAGCCAGGGTGGGAGGCTGGGGGCATGTTCATAACTAGGCCTGGGGGCAAAGGGCCCTGAGTTGGGATAGATCCTGGTGCCAGGGGACACGCAGGAGCTTGGCACTCCGGGCGAAATGGAGGCCTCCTGGACCGTCTTGCAGCCAGCCGATCAGTACCGTGCCGGGCTCAGGTTGCACTGGGCTTCGCTTTCACTCACCTGCAGTGGAAAACCCAGAGGGCCTCTCCTGAGGGGACCTGGGCCCCTGTGTGTGGATACCTGTTTTCCATAGCGGCCATCCTTCCCCTATGCATACCCACGGCAGGACCCCAGCCCCAGGACAGCCCAGGCTGAGGGAAGCTAGGGCTTGGCTTCAGGGGGCCTATAGCAAAAGGGTGCAGGTCCTACCCCAGCTCTGCCACTGCTCCCAGAGGCATCTGGGGAAACCCACACCCCTCCCAGGAATCCCGGCTTCCTCATCTGCAAACCGCCCTAACAGCACCCAGCACTCGGAGCACTGAAAGGGTCGTGCATGCTAATACACCTCGTCCCAAGTTTCAGTGCAGTTTTAAGCTTTAATAACTTCAAAACTACAAATACTAAAAACTTCAGGTGAAAGTTTTACTATTTAGATTTCTATAGAACACTTTTTTTTTTTTTTTTTTTTGCTATAGGGCATGCACGCTCACCAGAAAGACAGAGAGACAGAAAGCAAGAAATCACCCCCTAAGGGGAATGGCCACACTGCAATCCCTTCTCCTCCATTCTCCTCCCAGGATCTTTGGCACGTACATACACGCCCAGCGTGAGTTCAAGCCACTGGGTCTGGGACGTGAACCACGGCTGACTACATGGGAGTCTGGTGACATAGCCATTATGCCAACTGCTGGTCCCTCTACTGAACGCATATTTATTTATTTATTTATTTAGACTCATTTATTTTACTATAAGGCACGTATGCTTGCCAGAGAGACTGAGACAGAAAGCCAGAAATCACTCCCTAGGGAGATGGCCATGCCGCAATCCCTTCTCCTCCAATCTCCTCTCGGGATCTTGGGCAGGCGCACACACATGCCTGGCATGAGTTTTGAGCCACTGGGTCCAGGATTCTAACCACCGTCAACTACGTGGGAGTCCAGTGATGTCACCACCTGCTGATCCCCACGAACCCATTTTTGTTGAATTGCAAACCCGCTGTCTACCTTTGATCATTTAACCCTTCCGATGACGTTTGTTAGTCTGAGGCCTTGGTGCATCTGGAAGAATCCGAGCTTAGCCCAGCACTAAGACTTCAGGGACTCTACACAAAGCGCACTTAGAATGCCCAGCTGTGGGTCGGGCCACACGTGTGGCAGGGTGAGGCTGTTGAGAAGGTGACATAGGAAGTGGCGTGTAAGCGAGCGTGCTCAGTGCCGGCTCCATAGGTGTTGGGCACCAGCTGGCCAGTGCTGCTGCCCGGCTCTGATGTCCTGACGGGAAGCCGTGCTATGTGTGGAGTAGAGCTGTGCGGCACCTCCCAGGAAGGGGGACTGCAAAGCCCCGGGGAACCCCGACCACAGTGGGCAGTCGGGCATGTCTGTGGCATGGCATGGAGGAGGAGCTTGGTGGGGGACTGCCCCGTGTCCAAGGTGGCAGGTACCTGGGAAGGCACCGCCTGGAGCCACATGCCTGCACTTGCCAGCTCCGGGTAAACAGTGAAAGGAGCTGGGCAGCAGGGCCCCACTGGGCAGGGAGGGATGGGGGATCCCAGCCAATCGGCTCCCTCCCACTGCCCCATGAAAGGGCCATTCAGCTCAGGCCGTTCCTGTGGCAACAGGGAGACTCGCAGCCATGTGAGTGCCCGTCCTGTCCCGGTCTTGCGCAGCACCACTACGGCGGGCCTCAGCCCGCTCTCCCGCCCACGGTGCACTCTGCAGCCTCCAGGACAGCCGTGCCAGGTAATGCCAAGGGGCACCAACCCCAGCCGTCTTCTCACTCGGAAGGGGCCGGGACTTTTCTCAAGGGGAAACCTAGGGGTTGGTGGAAAAGAGAGACATGAGCGAGGAAGGCCTTGGCCACAACAGGGACCCTCTCCCTGGACGTGGGAACGGTACGCCAGACGCCAGCTAAGGCAGCTTCCAGGGGGTGTTCATGATGGCATGACTCCCAGCACTGCTGGGCACGGGGACGGCTGGCAGCTGCTGCAGATTGGAGCACACAGGAGAGGGAGGATTTGGGAGCCCTCCTGGGAGTCCAGCCTTCCAGGGCTGTCTGTCCTTGTCTGCTCTGCCTTGTTCAGTCCTAGCACTTCTGCGTCATTAGCAGGGCCAGGGGAGGTCACGGGCTTGGGGCACTGCCCACAGAATACCAATTCCCTGGGAGCCTCGGTGTGGGGGAGAGGGGAGGGCGAGCCATGGGGAGGAGCCATGAGCTCATACCCTGGGCTGGGAGCATATCTGATTGGCTGCGGGGTGTCCCGGAGCCCTGCTCCTGAGACCTGGAGTCTCTTTGGCTTTGCATTATTGATGGAGCTCTCCTGCGGGAAACAGAACAGGACCCCACCCCGCCCTGTCTAACCGTCCCGTGGTTTCCCTCTAACTTTGTATGAAATGGTCTCCCTAAAAAGGGATGAAAGTGGTGGAGAGGGAAATGCAGTGGGCAAGGGAGTGTGCCAGGCGGGGAGAAGGGTAGATGCTAAGTAAACCAGGTCTTGCTGATTCCAGCCTGCACTGCGAATTGCTGAAGGCCTCAGCAGGGACAAGGAGTACTATTCTGGGACCTATGTGGCAGTGGCCACCTGCTCATCTCCCACCCTGCACCTATCCCAATCCTTGCATGGACTGGGTTTCTAGAGCTTTTTGCCAAGCCCTTGGCTTTTGGGGCTTGGCACCAGCTCCTCGCTGTCCCCACGAGCTGGGCTGCTGGCTGAGGGCAGGCTGCGGGCTGCCCCAGCTGGTGTCTGCTGAACAACTCGATGTCTGCTCCCTGCCCGTCTATCTCACTAGGAGCCGCCGGGAGTGGGGGGAACGCAGGAGCCCCGGGGCTGAGGTCAGGGGCTGGCCAACCCTGACATTATAGACCTGAGGGAGGAGCCAGGCTGCCTGGCAGGGGCTGGGGCGTGAGATAATGACCACTGTCATCGCGGAGTGCTTTCCCGTGTTATTATCTCATTTATCTCTCAGCACCCCGTGAGGAGGGTCACGATGATGATGATTATGCTCAGTTAGAGGCGAGGAATGCGGTGCTCAGAGGTTAAATGACTAGTGCAGAATCACCCAGCTAGCCTGTCACGGGCGAGTCAAAACCAGCCCCTGCACACACACACCCCTCTGAGAGGTCTGGATGGCTCTGCCTCTGCCCCTCTCCCCCACCAGCGAGACCCCCAAGAACCCCAGATGGCCCTCGAGAAAAGGGGGCTGACCTTAACTTGCTCCTCTTTCCAAAGCACCTTTGTCGCTTCAGCTCCATTGGAAGGAAAGCCTCCATGTTTGGGGTGCTGGAGGGACCTGTGGGGGCCCCCAGTGATCCAAGTTCAATGGGGATGGTGAAGTGGAAAGAGCTCCGGGCCAGATTCCGGAAGGCTTAGATTCCAGTCCTGGCTCTGCCCTAAGGGAACCCTGAGCAACCCAACATGGCTTTCCCTGCCTGCACTACGGAGTGGTTCAAATGCTTGACCCTGGGGGCCAGCAGAGGGCGTACTCTGGTTACATTGCTGGACTCTCACCTGGCCAGCTGCAGTTCGAGTCCCAGACCTGGTGGCTTCAAAATCACATCAGGCCGTGTGGATGCGCGCCCATGATTCCAGGAGGAAAGTGGAGGAGAAGGGATTGTGGTGTGGCCATTCCCCCTGGGGGCATGATTTCTCACTTTCCCTCTCCCTATCTCTGTCTCTCTCTTCCTCTATGACAAAAAAAAAAAAATTGACCCTGTGGCCTAGTGCTTAAGAGCACCAGATCCCCATGGCTGACTGTGGGTTTTGAATCCCATCCTCAGCGGCTTAAAAAACTCTGAGCCCGGAATCCCAACAGGGTGGAGAGATGGAAAAGGGATTTGCCGGAGTGACCACACCCATTGAGGGTGCTTTCTCTCTGTCCTTCTGTCTCTCTCTCTATGGCAAGTGAACGTGCCTGACGCCATTTTTTTTTTTTTTTTGACACATAACCTTCCAGAGTTCATAAGCTCCACAATCAGCCCTGTGTGTTCTTTCAGCAGACACAAGTCAGCCACAAGGACTGGGAGCGCTGTCTGCAGTGCCAGGATTTGGCCTGTAGGGGGCCCCCTCTGCACAAATCAACTCTTGCCAGGAACAATGTGGGAATCCAGGGGGGCCGCAGGGCCCTCAGTCCACCTCCCTTGGCCAGTGGAGGTGGGGTTCTACCACTGAGTACCCTCCAGGCCAGGAGTGCAGGTCCAGGGAAGCACTTTAGGATGGAGTCTGGAGTCTGTGGCCCCCTCGCTACCTCAGACTCCTCACCCCACCTCCCCCGGCCCACAAATCCACTGTTACTTCCTTTCACGAGCCTCCTCTTCCTCATGAGGGATCTGACCAGGCGCTCGTCTGGTCATTCCAGACCAGACAGGCTATGACTCCCAAGTCAGAAGGGAGGGACGCAGCATTAGCCCAATGAAGTGTCAGCATTCTCCGTGCCGAGGTGAGGTCAGGAGCTTCTGCAGAAGCCGAGGAGGAGGAGGAGCAGGTGGGCTTGGGCTGGGAGTCGGCGTGCAGATCGGAGGGCGGCCGGAGCCACAGGCCCACTTGTGTGCTCAGGTCTGGGCAGTACTCGGAGTGGACAGGTGTGCAGAGACCGACTTCCTTGTGTGGCTTATAAGAAACAGCTTGTCTCTTGTACGCCCACTGAGTGTGAGCACCCAGGCTCACGCAAGCCTGTGTGCACACCTGTGCACACCTGTGTTTCTCACTAGCTGGCCAGCCCTGTGAACAGCGACGTCATGGCTCTTGGTTGAACTCCAAAGTTGGGCCCAGCTGGGGATGGAGATTAGGCGTGGCGGGAGCCTGTCCCCCAGCAGGCCCTCTGACGACTGCCGTCCTTGTCTTTCAGCCCATGAGGCGCCCAGGCCCCACTGAGTGCCGCCCTGAAGGATGTCCCAGCTCTCCTCCACCCTGAAGCGCTATACAGAGTCGACCCGCTACACAGATGCCCCTTACGCCAAATCGGGCTATGGCACCTACACCCCCTCCTCCTACGGGGCCAACCTGGCCGCCTCCTTCTTGGAGAAGGAGAAGCTTAGTTTCAAGCCGGGCCCCCCCACCAGCTTCCTCACCCGTCCCCGTACCTATGGGCCCTCCTCCATCCTGGACTACGACCGGGGCCGCCCCCTGCTGAGACATGACATCATTGGGGGTGGTAAGCGGGCGGAGAGCCAGACCCGGGGCACCGAGCGGCCTTCTGGCAGTGGACTCAGCGGGGGCAGTGGATTCCCTTATGGAGTGACCACCAACACCCTCAGCTACATGCCCGTGAATGCCCGCGACCAGGGGGCGAGCCTGACCCAGAAGAAGTCAAACAGCCAATTAGACCTGGCCCGGGATTTCTCCAGCCTCCGGACTTCAGATAACTACCGGATAGACCCTGGGAACCTGGGGCGCAGCCCCATGCTGGCCCGCACACGCAAGGAGCTCTGTGCCCTGCAGGGGCTCTACCAGGCAGCCAACCGCTCCGAGTACCTGGCCGACTACCTGGAGAACTATGGCCGCAAGGGCAGCGCGCCTCAGATGCCCACCCAGGCCCCTCCCTCACGAGTCCCTGAAGTCCTCAGCCCTACCTACCGACCCAGCGGCCGCTATACACTGTGGGAGAAGGGCAAGAGCCCAGCACCCGGGTCCAGCCGCTCCAGCTCCCCAGGGCGAGACACCATGGTGAGTTGCCCCTCAGGGACCCTGTGATGGGCTGTGGGGGCAGCCACTGAAGAGCCAGGCGAGGGCAGGACTCCAAACCTGACGGCTCATCAGGGGCCAGCCACTTCTGAAGTCCTGGTAGAAACACAGAGGGCCTGGGACCAGCAGTTGGTGTAATGGCTATGTTGCTGGACTCCCATGTAGTCAACCATGGTTTGAGTCCCAGACCTGGTGGGTGGCTTAAGCTCACGCCGGGCGCATGTGCGTGCGTGCCCAAGATCCCAAGAGGAGAATGGAGGAGAAGGAATTGCCGTGTGGCCATCCTCCCCTGGGGGGTGGTGTGGGGGGCTCGCTTTCTGTCTCTCTGTCTTTCTGGCGAGTGCACGCACCCTATAGCAAAAACCTCTCCAAAAAAAAGAAAGAAAGAAAAGATAAGAAACGAAACACAGGGGTCAGCCCCGGAGTCTGATGTCCTGGCAGCCCAGTGCTGAGGGTGGAGGCATTCCCTGTCTCCTCAGGAAGCCCCCTGCAGGACCAGTGCTGGGAGTGGCTGGGAGTGCTCTTAAATGCCCAGCACCCCACATCCACTATTCTCAGCCACCCCTATTCTACCCACCATGCCAGCGCCTGCTGTGAGGCCTGCCCCATTCTGGACTGGACGCCAGGGCCCAGGCCACCAGCGCTCCCTGTGGCAAGAGGGACCTGCATATCCCCCCTGCTCGCTTCACTCCCCAGCCCTGAGACCTGGCTTTCTATGTGGGCAGGAGACATGAGGGCCCTGACAACAGCAGGCTCAGGACCTGGCTATCTGGACAGCAGTACTTGTCATTGGAGAAAGCTGGGGAAACGTTTGTCTAGGGACTCAGCATCCCAGCCTTCCCTCAGTTAAGATGAGGGAAAAGGCTCTGCTGGAGACTGACCAGGGCTTGCCCGGCCTCACTTGCATCTAGTTGCTCAACACACCTGTGGGGGCCCTGACTGCCGGCTGCCTTTCCTGTAGTTATCCGTGTGTCCAGTAGGTGGCGCACTCTGAGAGGACCAGAAAGCAATGGTGTCTCTAGATCCCTGGCCATGTGCCTTACACAGCACAGAGCTCAGGTGACCTGGTTGTATGGATGGACGGATGGGTGAAAGAATGGATGAATGGACAGGTGAGTGGCCAGGTGGGAAGGTGGGTAGGTAGATTGACAAACGGATGAGTGGGTGGTAGGTGGGCGGGGAGTGCACGGGGAGATGAATGGATGCGTGCATGAAGGTATGGATGGGTGGATGAGCAGATGAACAGACAGACTGGCAAGCCACTGGACAGGAAGGTTGGGTGCTGTGTCTCCCCCATCACCTTCGCTACTCCTCCCCTACTCTCAGGATCTGTGCCATTTGGAAACACCAGCTATGCCACAGCCAGAAATGCTGCTTAGAGGCTTCGTTCAGACTCACAGAGCAGAGGTTCAGTACTCAGGGCGGGGCATTGGATCACAGGCCTTGAGGCTTATCGAAACTAAAGGTCTTGAGAGGACAGCTATGGTAACATTACAACCTCAACCTGGCTAGGCAATCTGTGAGGTGCCCTGGGAGTCAGGAAAGCTGGTGCCTCCCCTGACAAGGCAGGGCCGTACTGGAGACATCGCGTAGGAGGGAGCGGGAGAAGAGACCTGTGTCACAACAGGGCCTGCTGGGTGAGAGGTATGAATTTGCAGAGGGCCACATGCCTTGCTTGGCTGGAGCGGTGTTCACTTGGACACATCTGGTGCTGCCTGTCCTGGGGACAACCACAAAGCGGCTCTCAGGGGAGGGGCTCCCTCCATTTGTTCAGAGAGGGCTTCCTTTTTTGGGGGGGGAAGGTTTTTGCTATAGGGCACATGCACTTGCCAGGAAGACAGAGAGAGACAGACAGACAGAAAGCAAGAAATCACCCCCCGGGGGGATGGCCACGCCGCAATCCCTTCTCCTCCAGTCTCCTCGTGGCATCTTGGGCACACATGCACACGTGCCCAGAGTGAGTTTAAACCACCAGGTCCGGGACTTGAACTTCAGTTGACTACATGGGAGTCCAGCGACATAGCCATTAAGCTAACTGCTGGTCCCCAGAGAGGAGTTCTTGAGGCCAGCAGGCGGCATGGTCATTAAGGCACTGGATTCCCACATGACTGGCTGCGATTCGAGTCCCAGACCTACCGGCTTTTAAAACAACACCAACCAGTGGGGTGTGCGGGC